TATATATATATATATGTTTATATATATATGTTTATACTTTTATCATCCTGCTATCAATATTTTAATTAATATTTTTAGCGGAAGCGGATATTGTCTATTTATAAAAATTTCATACATTTATAACAAAATAAAAAAAGGGAAACATGAAAGGAAACGGTTACAATTTTGCCTTAATATTCATAGGAATAAATACTATGTAACTTAAGATTAACATAACATAATTTGACATTTAGAGATCTATTTTTTATTATTCTCCACTTTTTTATTTTTTTACACTGTTTTTTATTATTCTCCACTATCATTTTGTTTATTATTAAATCTTTTTTTGGTTTAAATATAATTTGATCGTATTAGTGTTTTGGTACAATTATGTTCTATATATTAGCTAGCAAACTATTGTGTTAATCCAGAAATCGAAAGTGACTTCACATAATATGATTGATTTTATTCGACTACAAGAGCCGGTTTTTTATAAACGTCTCAAGTCTTCTTCACAAATCGGATAAACTATTACTATTTCATTGGATCAATGAATACGTTCACGTATAAAACTCAACTTAGATTTTCTTTTATGAGAACTAAATGCACGTGTTTTCTTTATTTATTCCTTTACTACTATTAATAGACGTTATGATGAAGCAAGTACATTGAAAGTAAAAATATGCATCAATTTCTTGCAATTGAAATATTTTGAAGCTTATAATAATAAAAATCATGCATTATCTTTTTATATTAAAAAACATATTTAAGATATATATTTGTATTTATCAATATTTAAAAACTAACAATTTATGATATTTCATGATATTTAAATTGAATGAAATGAAACATTAAATAAGATGATTAAAAATGTTCAATTTGCATTTTATATTTTGGCACGTAATAATGCAAATACGAGAGACGTTGCAATGTTGGATGGAGTTTTCTGCAAAGAATTTCGATTTTGTTTCACTCTTTAAATATTTGTTACAATTGTTGTAACAGTAGAAATTTCAACAGTTTTTTAAGCGTTAGCTTTGCGTAGAAAGGTATTAAGAATTATAAACAAGGAAAAACAACTATTCAAAGAAGTTTTAGATCACTTCAAACAATTTATTATTGAATACGCATTTTTATTTTTCAAATCGCAATTATGATTCATTTCGTATGTGCGATCTTGTTATGTATTTTTCAATCCACATATTACGTCAGAAGGATTACATCGACCGTATCTTATATCATAAGCATATGTGGAATTAAAACCGACTTTAACAAATATTGCCGCGTTTTATCATTAACTATAGTTTGCATTTTGGCATGTAGCAGTTATGTGTGTATGGAATATTTTTTCATATTTTTCGATCAATTGTTACTATACTTGGTCATTTTTATCCTGAAGTTTAGGAAAATTTTTTATTCAAGATTATTCTAAAACTCATGCTCCAATGATGTGTGTGTATGTGTATTTGTATTATGTATATTTTCTTCTACGATATATACCAACTATTCAAGATAATGTATGTATTTCTTATTACAACACTCCGTATTCCGTTATGTATATAAGGAGTATAGAAGCAAAACTTATATTTTCATTTTTATATTGTTATATAGTTTGAAGATTACGATGTAAAGTTATAGTATTTTTTGCAGATACAAATTTGAATAAATCTCTCAGATGTTTTGTTTTCAAAATTATATTAAAAATACAAAAAGTTCGGTTTTGTTACACTCATCATTCCTAAATCAAGATTAGCAAAGGAAAAATTAACAAAGAAAATATTAGCTTCGCTTCTATATGTCAGATACAAACATACGCTAATTATCTTAATACAGGAATTATAAAACGTACGCCGTTCGAATTCGGAAAAATGAGACGAGATTCGCTAAAAAGAGTTTTATTGTTCCAAAAAGTATAGAATTTTCAATTTTTCCGCCATTATCAATCGATTTTAAGGCCTAAGCGCTTAGTCAGTTAGAAAGACGCACTCTTTTTGGTCATCGACACGCATTCAAGTGCGTGTTCGCGCGTTTCGCAACGATGATTCTGCAATCTCATTTCGCGACAAATTTCTTTTTTTTTTTTTTTTTAATTAAATTCCACAAAAATGTGCTGTTATAAAAACATCTTCCAGATGTCCGTCTATACATATGCTACGGAGTCCCTTCAGAGAATCACAAATTACGCACACGCAATTCGTGTGTCCGTACGAATATTATCTACCTTTTATGACTCGGCATCGTTAACGCGCCGAGCGATAAATCGATTATAAAATTTACGTTTGCGTTAAGTGATAACTAAATTGCACTAATACATTGCACACGTTTCTCGGACATTCTTTGGCATCTCTACGGATTATTATAAGTATATTTCGCTAATTGTAAGTTCTGAGAAAGAGAGAGAGAAATCACACATCCGATGCGGTAGGCTGGTACGAAAAACTCGAGAAAAATGGCTCTTACGAGTTCGAGTCTCAACAAATCTTTTCTATAATATCAATATAACACACACGATCGGATACGATCCGATTCCTTATTGTTTATTTACATCTTTGGGAGCATTCAAACGAATTATACATACATCTCGTAATTATTTCTAAGTATTTCCAATGTTTTCCTATAAACAGAAAGCATTCTATATATCTACACGCACTATTAAATCAACAAACAAACAACTAAAATAATTCAACAGTAGTAAATATAATAATACGATATAATAATAATAGAACATCGCGAGGAACTCTGTTCTGGCCAACTAAAATGCATTCTCCTTCAAGAATAAATTGTAAGGAGGTAAAGGACTTTTAACAGAAATTTGCAAATGTTTTGCTGACGACTTTGCAAGAGACTTATTCGATTATGAAAATGTTAAATGTTCTATTATTGATGAAGTCTTTGAGTACTCGAACCCGTAGCTTTCTTCCCGCGAACTCAGTGTTCTCGCGCACGGCCCTAAAGAAGGAACAACTCTATCTAAGAAGGAGGACTCTGTTATCATTCGTTTCACTGTTATCATTCCCGTCCATTCATCGACTACCACATGTCGATCTACATATTATATATATACGTACTATCATTCTCATTGAATATTAAATATATATAGCTCCATTGGATCTTCTTCACCACTTCTCCATTTATCAAATCGATCCGACGGTAACCATTAGGATATAGACCGTGCCACGAGTCAGGCATACAGTCATACGGTATTACAGTCATACAGTTTTGATATATCTAGGTAACAATGATCCGATGAATAATCGGCGGTTTCCCTTCCCTCTCCCTGAGAAAACAAGACGCGCCGACGGCAGATAATCAGATCGAAAGTATAATACAATTTTGTATGCCTCTACTTAATCATCGCCTGATAAACAATGTACAGACAATGATCCTTATACTTATTTCAGAAGATATTAATTATTCAGAAGATTGTAATATTATATTTGATCTTTCTCTTTTTAATAATAAAGTTACTTATGCTTTAGAAAAATTCTACCTGGATTTAAATATCAAAATTTTTAATATTTGAATGAGTAACCAAGTTTACCATATTTATGGTTTTAGAGTTTGAAATACTTTATATTTGTGAGCACTTTTTTTTAAATGGACATAGAGAGTTAGATTAGATAACTCGTCAAAGGAACATATTAGAGCATTATGTGCCTCATTAAAGATAATATTTACGAATTAATGCCGTGATTGCAACAACTCGAGTTGCATTGTTCTTTATTGAAAGAAAAGTTTCAAGAAGGAGGAATAGGAGGAATAGAAAAATATTAACATACCTTTTCCGACAAATCTTGACAATTTCCATCATTATGGTTACTTCA